CCCAATGCGGATACACGACGCCCTGGGAGGGCCCATCTCCCCCCTTCACAGAGTCCTGGAAACATATCTTAGCTTTCTGGAACATTCTTTAGATTCTCTGGAAAGTCCCTCCAGGAAATTTGGGGAGATTTGTCCTCATCGAGGCCGTGCTTTTGTCGTGTGTAGGAGTCAGCCACTTTGGTGGGTCTGTACTCTCTCGAGTCAACTAAACAGGAGCTGTTTTCCCAGATTTCCCTTCCCTGCGTGCTTCTCAGTTAGTGTGAGCCACGAGGCACTTCGTGTGAGAGTTGGAAGGTGGAAGTGAAAGAGCACGCAACTTTTAAATTTTTTTTAGATGGAGTTTTACTCTGGTGGCCCAGGCTGGAGTGCAACGGCATGATCTTGACTCAATGCAAACTCCATCTCCCAGGTTCAAGCAATTCTTCTGCCTCAGCCTCCCAAGTAGCTGGCACCCACCACCATGCCCAGCTAAGTTTTGTATTTTTAGTAGAGATGGAGTTTCACCATGTCAGCCAAGCTGGTCTTGAACTCCTGACCTCAGGTGGTCCACCTGCCTCAGCCTCCCAAAGTGCTGAGATTACAGGCCTGAGCCACCACGCCCAGCCAAGGATGCATCTTCTTTACGCAGTCAGGAGATTCCAGCAGTTTTGCAGCTCACACCATGAGCACTCATCTGCTGGCCACTCTGTTGGTGTGGGGCCAGGGCCCGGCCCATAGTCACCCCAGCTTTTTTCGGATCTTCTGCTTCAATTTCTCTGGCTCCTGGGCAGCATGCCTGTTTAACTCTGTGGCTAACAGTAGCTTCTCCTTCAAGACCTCCTGCCTGTGAAGTTGGAGAATGAAGGTAATGAGAGACTGCACAGGTTCCCATCCACCCTTGGGCTCCACCCATCCTCACAGGTCCGGTGCGTCCTTGCTTCTCACCTCACATCCACCTTTCCTTCCTGAATGCCTGTCCTTCAGACTTCAGCTTCCAGCACCAAACCAGAAACGACAGCCTGGCAGACAGTGGAACCGGCTCTCACAACTGCATCAGGTCAAATTCCCATAATTAATCCCTTCTTTTTATTATTATTATTTTTTTGAGATGGAGTTTTGCTCTTGTCACCTAGGCTGGAGTGCAACAGCATGATCTAGGCTCACTGCAACCTCCGCCTCCTGGGTTCGAGAGATTCTCCTGCCTCAGCCTCCCGAGTAGCTGGGGTTACAGGTATCCACCTGTATGGTCTCTTTTTAGGGGTGAGCAGGGGGCAATTTGAGAACTGAGATGCTTCAGGTTACTTCCCAGGCAGGGTTTGGGTTCCCCAAGAAGGATGTTGACCTGAAAATTTAAAAAGACATGGCACCAGTCAGGGATTCCCGGGGTTTTGACCCCAATGCGGATACACGACGCCCTGGGAGGGCCCATCTCCCCCCTTCACAGAGTCCTGGAAACATATCTTAGCTTTCTGGAACATTCTTTAGATTATCTGGAAAGTCCCTCCAGGAAATTTGGGGAGATTTGTCCTCCCCAAAATAAATTTTTTTATTTTTAGTAGAGACAGCTTTCACCATGTTGGCCAGGCTGGTCTTGAACTCCTGACCTCAAAGGATCCACCCGCCTCAGCCTCCCAGAGTGCTGGGATTACAGGTGTCAGCCACCACGCCCGGCCGAATCCCTTCATTAATATTGTGCCAGCTAGCTCCAAGATGGCACCAGTGAATCTCACCTCCTAGTAGTGCCCTTCCATAGTAAATAAGTGCTGACCTATACAACCAGTTTTGTGCTGCAGAGTGACTGTGTGACTTCATAAGAGACATTGCCTGCCACCTTGGTCTCCTGCATCGATTGCTGCAGGGGAAGCCAGCTCATGTGTCAGCAGGATATTCAGGCAACCTTCAGAAAGGCCAGTGGGGCTGAGGAACTGAAGCCTCCTACCAACAGCAGGCAGTTTGCCAGTCACGTGAAAGAGCCCATCATGTCGGGGTTACCACCTGCAGGGGTCTGACCCGAAGACACAGGCTTGCATGATGGATGAATAACGTACGCTGACATAAATCTCTTGCCTGTCAGTCTGATGAGGAGGATCTGCTGCCTCAGTCTGCATTGTCATCAGCCAGCCAAGATCGCATTTATTTAGTACAGATTAAATGACAAAGGTTGTAAGTAAGCACCACCGGAAGGTAAGTAACATTGCCCACCCCCGAGAGAGCCATCCTGGCTGTGAATGATTAAAGGTTACTTTTAGGACCACAGGAGTAAACAAGCTATTTTGATAAACGCTCTACATTCCCTTGTTATTTATGTTTCTGCTATTAACCCAAAGCAAAGAG